GATTTTCATGCGGTTATATATTCCATGGAATTAAAATTTAGAAAATATTGGGAAGAATTACCTATGTTATTTCCTTTAGCATGCGTAATGGACCTCGATATAATTTATCGGGTACTAAATTTGTAATTGACCAAATTTCAAATGCTTTAACTTTTAATATCTCTATTACTTATAGGAATTTGGAACAAACGTTAAATGAAATGTATGAATTATATGCTTTACGAATAGGTACACATATTACTCGTATACCTACAACTCCTCCTCCCACTAATATAAACGATGACGACGCTGAAATTTAAGTTTATTCGAAAACATGAACTCATATAGATATGATTCAACTGCATATGCATGTGGTTCCTCTAGTAGTAGTAGTTTGTCTTCCACTACATGTACTCAAACTTCGAGTACTGGTCCAAATGTGTTGCCATATGAACTAATTGATTACTTTAGTTATACTTTGCCTAGTAACAAATCAGTAAGGAAAAGTTCAGAAAATGTTATTGAATTATGGCGAAATAACAAACGCCGATGGCCAATAGTTTCTACAATTGCAAAAAATCTATTAACACCTCCGGTTAGCACTGTAACTTCGGAGTCTGCTTTTAGAGTAGGGAAGAGAGTTTTCTCTGAGATTCGAAATCGACTAAAAGAAGATATTTTGGAAGCGTTAATGTGCGTGAAGGATTAGGAAAACGCTAATTATCGAATTCAACATAAATATGTCGAAATTGCATGTAATCAAGTAAGTATATTTAATTCACTACATTCATTACAAAATTTTATTTTTATACTTTTATAATTTTTTAAAAAAAATTGTACACGTAACAAGTTGTTCGTGTACAATTTTAACTCCGCCTACTCGAAATTGAAGTAGATGGTCTCAAACCCGAATAAAGGAGGAGGATTTATCTTTTTTTTAAATAAAAATGTTTTAGAAAATGTATATTTATTATTTTAAAAATTATGAATGTTTTGAAAAATGTATATTTTAAAAAAAATAGAACATGTGTATATATATATTTTTTGAATTTAAGATTTAATTAATTAATTATAGTAGTGTTAAAAAAAAGACGTCAAAATGACGAGCTGGCGCGGCTCGTTTTGGATGAACTCGCCCAAAAACCAACGAGCCACGAGCTCTCACAGGCCGAGCTCATGTGGGTATGGGCCAAGTCGAGCCAAGCCAAGCCACCACTAAACCCACGAGCTCACGGGCTGAGCCGAGCTCGACTAGTGAGTAACGAGCCGAGTAGAAGCTCGGCTCGTTATAAACTAGCCACGAGCGAGCCGGCTCATCCCATTACCATCCCTAGACAAACGTGACAAAAAAAATTGTTGATTAAGGTCTGCAAATTTTTGAGGTCAACAAAATATTTTTAAATTCAGATTTTCATCAGTTTATGTCACTTTCTTGTTATATGCCGACAACAATTTCTAATTTTAGCGTACCAATTTATTATTTTTCACAATCAATCACAAATTAAGAATTTCTATTTTTGAGATGTCGCTCAGTTACTTTTTCTCTCCTTACATCCCTAATAAGCTGATTGTAACCATTGATCCTAGAAAATGCTTAATCTTTGCACGCACTACCATTAGCAAATTCTTCTTTCATATTCTGCAAAACGAATTGTTCGGTTAGCCCCACATGGTGACCAAGTTGGAGCTATGGTCACTACACTAATTACTTCGATACTCAAGTCAATTTGATTTACCGGAAGAGTGAATACGCATTATTTGAGAATCATAGTTGATCGAGTAATGATATTTCTCGTTAGTAGGATGCATCATCAGTTCGGTGACAATGATTCTCATGTTACATTATCCAATGCATTAATGTGCATCACAACTGCAATGTACAATGAATCAGAGAATCCATTGCCATCAAATCGATGATGTGTCTCTACTAATGATAGATAACATTATTGTAGTTGATCTCCATTTAATGACATGATTTGGGGTACTTAATACTTAGAACAATGCTATAAGTACAGGAAAAAACTCACAGATTTTGCACAGCTGTCTTCCTGTGAGTGGCATTTTTTGGCAACAGCAAATCACAAGAAGACAGCTGTTTTTCTGTGCAAAATTTGTGGAATTTTTCCTGTATCTGCAAATTTATTCTAATACTTATAGCATAGGCAAGTTAGCGGGGGACATCGGTATTGATTTTTATTTGCGATGTGACTAACTGAACTATAACTTACTTCAGGTGAGGCTTCTATCATTTTTTTCCAGTACTTGTCAACCAAGTTCACCGTGACCTGTTTCTGAAAGTAAATATTTTCAAGAAATTAATTCATTGATGAATCTGAATAAAAAAAAAAATATATTATATTAAGTAGATTTATTTTGATCAAAAGTCGGTTTAATTTGAACGATTCAATAGTCCGGCCTATGCTTCCAACTTCAAAAAAGACCTTTATGGTCCCGACATACACATGAGCTCAATAAGTTGTCATGTGCTGAAAGGGTCAAAAACATACATAATAACTTTAGTATGTAAAAATTCTATGCTGAAGTCTTGTTGTCATACATTCATGAAAATTGTGCCTTTCAAAGAAACGTGTAAGATGGAATTTTAAATAAGTAAATAAATCCATTAATTTTCTATCAATTTAAAATTTAGACGAAATAGTTAGAAAGACATACAACGTTAATCATGTCTACGGTCCTTAGTTATGTTATGTAAAATCTTATAAAAAATATCAGATATCAAACCTAATAAATTTGATATACGTTTTAATCAGATACCAAAATATTCGTGACTATTGTTTTCTCATATCTATCTCTAAGCAACACATTACAGCATCAAAGCTTGGCTCACTCAACAACAGTGGAGAGATCGCCCCCCGGGGCACATCCAAGTTGGCAAAGGATTGGCACTGCTGGGCTTGCAACCTCAGGGTGGAGAGTTCGATTAATGTAATATTCATGGAGGAAGGCTCCCTTGAGGTCAGGAGTAGAAAGGGTGCACAGACCCTGGTCAACTTGGGTATATCCCTCGGTTAACCTCCACCCATCACTGAGGGGTCGGGGATGGGTGGTCCAGACATAGTCTGGTGTAAGCTAGGATACCTGGATATCCAAAAAAAAAAAAACAACAGTGGAGGGATATTGAGAGACAATTTGGCCGAAATCAATGGAGAGAAATTCGGGGATATTGGAGTTCTAAAGGCAACAAATTCAAACCAAATTGACGATTCAACAAATCCTTCAAATAAGGAAAATCCAAATCAACATGAACATCCATCATTTTTCCAGAGCAGATTTTATGGAATTATAAAAGGTATGAATTATGTGGTTAAAAATTTGTAAATCTTATGTGGTTAAAATTAATTGTTGACTTTCTCTTAAATTAAATGCTAATCAAATTTCAATTTTAATCCCACGTTTCATTCCATCCACGCTTTTTATCCACTTTTTAACTATACGTTTCATGTGATTCATCAATATTTATTAACTTTATTTGCTTAAAAACCTATATCAAAAAGCACTATATTAACTTCAACACATATTAAGAGGGTGTTTGGTGGGAATTAAAATTAGATTTTTAGCAGATTGCGATAAAAGTTTTTGAAATGTGTGATTGAAAAGTTATGAGATCAATGAAAGATGTGGTTAATATTGATTATTTGACTTTGATTTTGATTAAAATTAAAATTTAATCCAGATCAAACATGGGCTAAGAATGAATTACACGTTTTCTCCACTTTCGCAAGTCATGTCATCACAGTAAACATTGAGGGAAATCTACACAAACATAACTTAAAATGAGAATAGGATAGTGAAACTCAACCACTTTAAATTGAAAATTACCTTGAAGCATTTCTGGGAACGGACTATAAATATCAAGCTTACATTTCAATAATGCACACAATCAAAACCTTGCAAATTTAATTCTTTTCCGAATAGGGAAGGTGTCATCCTTTACTTCAAAGCATGCATGAATGAGTTATTAAACTTCAACGACACCCCAATTCGTATTTTTCTTGTAAATCTATTCTCGTACCTAAGGTAAACCTTAAACCAAGAAAACTTTCTGTCAAAAATTTCTCAACCATGAAACATCACCAGGACAAGAAGAATGTGATTGCCAAATGCATGTTCTTTATAATGATTATATGCAAGGTGAATTGTAGCCCTCCAGAGGATCCTATAAAGTGTACACTCAATAACTCTAATTGTACCATTACAAATACTTATGGTGCATTCCCAGATAGAAGCCTATGTCGTGCAGCAAAGGTTGTCTACCCCAAGACAGAAGAAGAGCTTATCTCAGCTGTGGCAAATGCAACTATGACCAATACAAGAATGAAAGTCGCAACCCGTAGCTCACATAGTATTCCTAAGCTTGTGTGTCCTGAAGGCGATAATGGACTTCTGATAAGCACCAAGTACCTTAATCGAACATTAGACGTTAATGTCTCAAGCATGACGATGACTGTGGAGAGTGGGATGACACTCAGGCAGCTGATCAATGACGCTGCAAAGGCGAAACTGGCTCTGCCTTATGCACCATATTGGTGGGGACTGACCATCGGTGGAATGATGGGAACGGGTATTTGTTTAGATTTTGTCTTCAACATGCTCCTTATATGAATGGACGAAGGATTCATTTTTCACCATATACTTAACCTTGTGCAATTTCTGAAATGAGTGAGGGACGATATATGTTTATTTATTAAAATTTTGTCTTCGACAGGTGCACATGGTAGCTCTTTATGGGGTTTGGGGAGTCAAGTTCATGACTATGTAATTCGACTTCGGATTGTGACTCCAGCTACAGCTGAAGAGGGTTATGCAAAGGTCCGGACACTTGAAATTGGCAACCCTGAGCTTGATGCAGCTAAAGTGTCCCTTGGAGTTCTTGGAGTTATTTCACAGGTATATTTATATGTCTGGTAATATTTATATAAATACCATTTTTAGGATTTGGAATTCGGCCATGGAATCTTGAAATGACACTAGGGTGATCAAAAGTCCAATATGAGCCCTTAAGGAAAATTTTACTCCCTAATGCCCCTAAGATTCTACTCCCTATATATTATCGTCTTCAAATCTACTCACTAATGCCCCTAAGATTCTACTCCCTATTCTTGATTGTTTTGAGCTTCAATCCAAACTACAATAATCTAATTAATTCATAAAATTTCTCGCTTGAATTTAAGTTATTTGCTACTCAAACGCAAACAAATGACAGGAATTTGAGTTTTATTTACGAATTAAAGTAAATTTTATTTCCTTTTCAAATAGATATTGAATTGGTTGTTGAACTTGTCAACTCAGCCACTGAAATTGGATATAGTGAACGGGATCTTTCAATACAGCCAACACTAATGGATTCTTAATTTTTGTTTTGTTTTGTTTTTTTTTTTTTCCCTTTCAATCATTTCATCTAAGTAGTTTAAGGGGTAATACATTTATGTACGTCTCTCACATTTCAAATTCATTTTTTGTGATCGAAGACCTGATTCCTAAATAACTTCATAACTAATGGATGGTGTCAAATTTTAAATACAGAGTCTCTACTTAGTAATATCATGTTAAACATCTCATTTGAAAGTTCATAATTATTTGTTGGTCTCAGAAACAAGATTTGCATACCAAAAATAAGAGCAGAAAAGCAAAATTGCAAAAAAGAAGAATGTACAGATTTTTCACCCCTTAGGGCTCGGATGTTCAACTTGAAAGTCTACTCACCCGTTGAGCATCTACAAAGTAGATTATGCTCGAATCCACTAAGAACCACAAAGAACAGTACATAACGTATGAAGAAATCGAAGATTTATTCACTTAAGTTTCCTTTCGCCTCTCTAATACAAAACCCTCTTCTCAAAACCTCTAAAATTTTACACAAAATATAATCTAACAATATCACTAAGATATTACAGAGATCAGAATCAAAAGATCACAAAGAAGATGAAGAGATAAAAATCAAAATCGCGATCAGGTACTGTAGCAGCGCCTAGGCACTACTGTAGCAGTGCTCAGGTGCTAGGTTTCAGGTTAATATTCCAAAACATGCTTTCAAAGTGTTTTTCTCCATTCCGAACTCTTTTTCAAGTCTAATATCAATTTCCAACTCTCAATGGGCTTCCAAAATAGAATTTCAACTTGATATAGGACTCCAATAACATTCCAAACTTGAATTCTTCTTGATGTTCACTACAATTAGAATTCTTCAATATTTTAAACAAAGAAATTGGATCACACCCAAATTCTAACAATCTCCACATTGATACGAATTTTTCAACAATAACCAAAAAACTAATTTCTCCAACCAAATACAAGATACTCCACCTCTTCCAATGAATCCAAACACTACTCTACAAAATTACCTCAGGTTCCAAAAAATCATAATGATTTTGAATTAACCAAAATGGGGTAAAACACACCCCAAAGTAGAATCATTACCAAATGCTTCTAATGAAGACTTCTTGCTAGATTGAACACCTTTTTCTTCACTTAAAGCATGCTCAACAAAATCAATATCCACATACCTTGTTTCACTGGGTCTAACTCTAACAATTGAATACAATAACACCGCAAGTGATGGTGGCAAAGTGGTATTATCCATGTCTTCAAAACTCCACTGAGTTGTATTTTTTAAATTTGGCCATTTATGAGCTACTAAAGGTATTGTACCAAACTGAATGTTCACCACGGTACTGAACATGTGCTGATTGACTCTTTCAAATTCTGCACGACCCTGCAAGATGTATAACTAAGACCTTTTTTGTCCTTGAAATATAACCTAGGCACCCTTACAAACCTTCAAAAATCCACCTCCACCAAATAACTCATAACCTTTTGAATCAAAGATAGACAAAAACATGAGATTCCTCTTCAAATTTGGAACATGTTGAACCGGTCAATTGTTCTAATTCTTCCATCCAAAAGCTTCAATCTGATCGTACAAATTCCAACAACCCGACAATGTGCGTTGTTTCCCATAACCACGACACATTTGAAAACGGTTTCATATGTAGTAAACAAGTCCTTATTAGGACACATATGAAACACACATTCTGAATCCAGAATCCAATTATCATCTGATTTAGATTAGACGTCAGAAATAGCTAAGAGATCTCCATCAATGTTCTCCGCGAGGTCTGCTTCGCCTGAAGTATCAAATGTCTACTTGCAACCATCTTTTCTTTTTTCTGCAACTTGTAGCAATCCTTCTTCAAGTGCCATTTCTTCTTACAATAGTTACAAATTTNGCAATCCTTCTTCAAATACCCCTTATTCTTACAGTAGTTACAAATTTGATTACTAAACTTAGTGTTCGATCTGCCCCTTCCAGAACCACCATGAGCAATCAGGCCTTCTTCATCTTTAGCCTCAGAAACCAAATGCCTCATCTCTCTTTTGAAATCAAAGCATCATAAACCTCCTCAATGGTGAGAGTATCACAACTATATAAAATCATGTCTCTAAATGAAGAAAGAGAAACGGGCAACGAACATAATAGGATCAAGGTCAAATCTTTTTCATCATACTTAACTTCCAATGTTTCTAAATCGGCGACGATGTCCTTAAATACAGCCATGTGATCTTCTAATGATCCTCCTTCTGCCATACGATGAGAGTATAACCGTTGTTTGAGATGCAATTTTCTTGTAAGACTCTTGGTCAACCATAATTGCTTCAATTTCAAACTTAAAGCAGTTGCTGACCCCTCCTTCAAACCATCATGAATAAAGTAATTTGATAGATGAATTTTCTTGTAAGACTCTTGGTCATCCATAATTGCTTCAATTTCAATCATAAAGCAGTTGCTGACCCCTCCTTCAAAACATCATGAATAATGGAATTTGATAGATGAAGATGAATGTAAGAAACTGCTTTTTTATCCTTCCATAATTTCTCTTCCACGGTCAAAGTTGCTGGCATCCTGTCAATACTCAACAACGCATCATCCAAATCCAGCTGTGCGAGCACTGCACGCATCTTAACCTGCCATAGCGAAATCTAGTGCTTCGATCCAAAAGCGGAATGTCATATTTCATGGAAGCCATCACGAAAAAAAACTTCGAACTAATCAAACCCTATGCTCTTGCGGAATTGCTCAACCTTGGCTCTGATACCACTTGTTAGGATTGATACAACTTGTTGTGATACTAATCATCGAATTGAGATGTTGGAGTTGTATGTCAAAGTAATAAAGTATTTGATCAAAAACAAATAAATAAAAGAAGACAATAATATAGCAGAAGAATTAAAAGATTTTATTGCACCAAGAATAATGGAGAAGAGAGAAAATTACAATAAATCCTATAATTCTAGTAATCTATTTTCTCACATGTAATTGTTACAAAAAATTGTATAGAAGAGCCTAATATTTATAGGGAATATNTTCTTACATGTAATTGTTACAAAAATTGTATAGAAGAACCTAGTATTTATAGAAAACATGTAGGGGGCGTCTAAATCCTTTTGGTAAAGTTGTTGATGAAGTAGGATGTCAAAAAAATCGAGTATAAAATGAAGTAGGAGAGAAAAATCACGATCAGGTACTGTAGCAGCGCCTAGGTACTACTGTAGCAGCGCTCAGGCACTACACCTAGCGCTCAGGCGCTAGGTTTCGGGTTAATATTTCAAAACATACTTCCAAAATGTTTTTCTCCATTTCGAATTCTTCTTCAAGTCTAATATCAATTTTCAACTCTCAATGAGCTTTCAAAATAGAATTTCAACTTGATATAGGATTCCAATAACATTCCAAACTTGAATTCTTCTTGATGTTCACTACAATTAGAATTCTTCAATACTTCAAATAAGAAATTCGGGTCACACTCAAATTCTAACAAATAATAATAACAATAATAAACCAATATAGATATGATTTTGATTACAGTTTTGTACTACTATCACAAATGAATAAAATGTTAATGCAAACAAAGGAGAAAATTTTGGAAAAAAATAAAAATAAAATTGCAGGTGACGTTGAAACTGCAACCGCTTTTCAAACGCTCTGTCACGTACATAACAAAGAACGATTCGGATTTTGGGGATGAAGCGGTCATCTTTGGGAGACAGCACGAATATGCAGACTTCACGTGGTATCCGAGTCAAAAACAAGTTGTGTACCGAATTGATGATAGAGTTCCCTCCAACACTTCGGGGAACGGTCTCCTTGATTTTCCAGGTTTTCGCTCTACGGCTTCAGTACTTCTATCAGGTTTAAGAACTACAGGTGAGTACATAATATATTTCTCAGCACTTAACAGCTTTCTTGAATTCTTGAGAAAATTTTTAATTCGCCAGGTTCTTTTTTGGTTGCTTGCAATTTAAACAGAGGAAACTGAAGAATTACTGGGTGATGCTGATGGAAAATGCAGAAACGGGAAATGGACTACATCCATTTTGAAAACCATGGCCTATGGCTTGACAAATGATGGTATTTTTTTCTTATTTTTCTACCTATATGACAACAAAGCCGGACTGGGTTCTGAGGAAACTTTCAAAACATTGCCTGTTTTTGTTTTTGACACGTCGCAGTAACTAAAACTAATCGGAAAATCTAGAGAATGATTCAAAAACTCAACTAAAGAATTAAGTTATGAATAGAATTTAACCTTTACATTATAATAAAATTTTATCACAAGTATATACACTTTTAATAACTGTTAAATGTTTTTTCTAAAAATAAATATTAACTTTATCTATCAAATTGCATTTTTTTTTTCTACTGTGTTTCCACAATGTTTCTTGCCCTACTATTTTGAAAGATATCTTGTTCTTATATTTGTGTCGTGTCGCATTTTCCATTTTAATTTCCATGCTATCTAGAAGACTGAAAGTAATTAATCTAAATTTACAAAATTTTGTAATATTAAAAGGGATTTTGTTTACGGGGTTTCCCGTAGTGGGATATCACAATCGACTCCAAGCATCGGGGACCTGCTTGGACAGTTTGGAGGATTTAACAATCACAGCTTGCCCGTGGGATCATCGTGTCAAAAGTCTATTTTTTCACCAAACTACGTTTAGCATTTCCTTGTCCCAAGTCAAAAATTTCATCGAAGATGTGCAGAAACTTGTAGCCCTCGAACCTAAATCCACGTGTGGACTGGATCTATACAATGGAATACTAATGAGATACATTACGGCTTCGACTGCATACCTGGGGATACAAGAAAATGCACTAGATTTTGACATCACATACTACAGAAGCAAGGACCCAACGAACCCTAGACTATATGAAGACATTTTGGAAGAAATAGAGCAGATTGCAATGTTCAAGTATGGTGCATTGCCACACTGGGGAAAGAACAGGAATGTGGCATTTGATGGGGCAATCAAGAAATACAAAAATGCAAGTGAATTTCTCAAGGTCAAAAACCAATATGATCCACAGGGGCTATTTTCCAGCAGTTGGACGGATCAAATTCTTGGATTAAATGGTGCAGTAGTGAGTATTGATAAAGAGGGGTGTGCTTTGGAAGGCTTATGTGTATGCTCTCAGGACATTCATTGTGCCCCTAAGAAGAACTATTTTTGTCGTCCGGGCAAAGTTTATCGGGACGCAAGAGTTTGTACTAAGGTTGATGCCAAATAAGAATTTACAGCGCGAGTTTCTTTTTAGGAGATACGTTCTCCAGTTTCACATATGCCTAATTAATGGAGCGCACAAGTTTGTCCTTTACTTCATAGCATGCTCATGCTCATAAGATTCTAAGTATATTTGTCTTAATGTACCTGACGAGTTATTAAACTTCAACGACACCCCCAATTTGTATTTTCTGTCAAAATTGTCTAAAGCATGATACGTCTCCTGAAGAATGTGATTGCAAAATTCATACATGGTGAATTGTATTATTCCAGAAGATCCTATAAAGCGTACGCTCAAAACTCTTTTCCCCCATTACATATACATATGGTGCATTCCTAGATAGAAGAATATGTCGATTTTCTACCCCTGACAGAAGAATTAATTTCACCAGTAGGAAATGCAACGATGTCCAATGCAAATGTTATGTGCGGAAGCTGAATATTATTGAAATTCTTTTACAAAATTTACTACAATACACACTAGATTTTATTTGAGTACAAAGAGTAGCTACAACTCACTTAAGATTTTACTTATTTATGATCACTTCAATAGTGATATTTTACTATTTTTACGATAAATTCATTTGTGATATTTAGCCCCTGTTTGAGTCACATTATATTTTTCATTCATATTCTTCTACTCATTTTCAATCACACATTTTTCAATAAAATAATATTTTTCATCACATCAATAACTTTTTGCTTATTTTTTAACCTCACATTCCCCATCACATCAAACAAAAAAAATGCATTCTCTCCACAAAAATACCTACCAAACAGAGGCTTATTGTCACTTCACACATGATAATTCATCATTACAATTTACTCTCTTTATATATGATACAAAGGAGTGATTATTGGAAATTACACAAGTCATTCAAATATTAATATTTAAGGCTAGATGTTTTCCAAATGCACCTTCTTCCAAGGCAAGACTTCCTGTTTTCAATACAAACTTCATCTTTCAATTGTAAAGAATTTGAGTTATCATGGTTAATAGTTCTTCTTCCAAAGTCGTCTTTAATGTAGTATTCATCAACAATTTTACATGTTCTTGAAGATTGCTAATTACTTGTAGTTTTAATACCCCTTTAATTTTGTGATATATATTGAGTTGCGTTTGTTTTAGAAAATTTCTTTCCATAATCCCTCGAACAACCTCATCTTTTGGAGAAGTGTAATGCTATGTAGCTCCACTAGAGTTACAATTTCAGTCTAAGTGGCGCTAGATTATAGGTTAAATAAAAAGTAAACTCAAATGATTCACTTAATTCTACTTATCATTTAATGTCACATTAACGCCATCTAAATTGAGGTTGTAACCCCAGTGGGGTCAAACAGCAATACTCTTTGGTGAATGTTTGTGATCTCCTCTCTGCATCCTTTTCTTTTTGCATTTCTACAAATTTCTCTTAGCTAATTAAACTTTAAAGCTTCATTGCCCTTTTCAACTTGAGCAAGCTTGGTAATCTTCTTTGCAAAAGGCGGGGATCCAATGATTTTGGTTATGGGTCGACTTCTTGCAAAGGAAGCAAACAGTGGTTATTCTTTATTGACTTCTTTCGTTTTTCCTTTTTCGGAAGATGGTGAACTTATAGGTGGATCTTCCCTAATTGAGTGTTTATTGTCATTTTGCAAAAAATAGATGTTACCTCCAAAGCTAAGATGCTACCAATTTGACAACATTTAAGAGAGCATTTTGTAGGAAAAAAATATTTGTATTAGTAGGAATACGCTAAGATGGAAAATGTGATTTAAAGCATCAAGTTTCAATATTACAAGTTATTGGTGCTCCAATTGATTTTCGCTATGAGTTGATCATTCTTTGTGATTCAACATTTTGCTAAAATGTGTATCAAAACCTTTCGTAAGTTGAACAACATTAAGAAGTTTGCTTACCAAACCTAGAATGTAATAAACTAGAAAAATCTTCTGAATTTTGCTAGATTAAGCCTCTGTTTGGTTCGGATTAAAATCTGATTTTAGTCCAAGTCAAAGTTAAACAATCAACATTAACCACATCTTTCATGGGTCCCACAACTTTTCAACCACACATTTCAAAAATTTCTATCAAAATCTACTAAAAATCTAATTTTAATCCCTACGAAACACCCTCTAAGTATGAATGCAATATCTCCAACACCTTGAATTTTATAAGATCGAATATCTCCATTGAGTACCTGCCTATATAATCTTCAGCAATATTTGAAAACAAAGTTTTGTTCCCATTCATGCGTTTGCTGGCATCACTATCCACATAGGAATCATTCTTGTTGTACATGTTCCATGGGCCCTGTATAACCATTTTAATCCATTGACATACTATACTATATATGTTTCTCCTATTTTTCAAATCACAAGTAAGAAACAATTATTTTTGAAAATTTTCAATGACAAACCTAGCTTCATCTTTTACTTCATTTTCCTTCTTTTTATTTTTAAACCAACAATCCCTTTGAAAATAGTTAGGGATTTTTCATGCCTTGCATCTGAAACAGCAATATTTAGATTTACGATTTGACCTTTTGCAAATAATGCAAAATTGAGCATTACCAGATTTTCCTTTCTTTTGATGTGAACATCAATTTTGTTTTCTCCATTATTGCTTGAACTTGTCTTTGATAATTGCTTTGTCTAAAGGCTTGTTCGATTGTTGGATTTGCCGAACGAATGAGTCTATATTCATGTGCTTGAAGAGATCGTGTCAACTTGTACATTCATCTTTGACAATTCTTTGGAATATCAACAATTACTTGAGCAAACTTTGGGGATGATTTCTAAGCACTTCTTGAAGAGGATTTTGCTACTTGTACATCAAAATTGTACATAACGAGTTACATAATATAATGTGAAGGAAAAAAATTGGATAAAAAAATTGATTTTGTTTTTAACTGACAAATGGTAGAGTAACATGTGATATTATGTAACCTATTATGTAATCCTTAATGTATATGTAGCAAGATCCATTTTGAAATACTTTATATGTGCTATAAAAATAATATTGTAAGATGTGCGAATAAAAAAATAATTAATAAAAATTATTTAGGTAGAATGAAATTTTGATTCAAATGAAAAAAAAAAATCAGTTTGCGAAAACAATTTAAATAGTGTATGAAGCCAATCAGGATAGTCCCTACATTTACCCTTTTGATATAAATTGAACATTCAACAAATACCATCTTTTCTTCATATTCGCTTTGAATATATTAATTGAAATTATTTATTATAGATACGCAATATGTCCCTCCATTTCCTTCTTTGTATCTTAACATTTATTGAATAAATCAATTGGAATAAAACTCTACAAATATTCATCTTTTGTTCCAAATTTTTTTTTAATGAATTTAATTTACCATCCAATCAAGTAGAATGAATTCGTCAAATGTACATTGATCATAACTAAATAATAGATAAAATAATTCATAATAATATTTTTCAAATGATTAAATAAATCAAATACATATTGAAAACGAAAAGGTAATCAATCTGTCAAATATGGTTAAATAAGTTAAATACATATTGAAAAACGAAAAGTATGGTATTATTGAAATAATTGAATTATAGTAAGAATAAAATCGTCCAAAAAATAGTTTTCACTTAATATGATAAGTAATTGTTGACACACAAAAAGGCAGCCCAAATCAAATGACCCAAGAGAGGAAATGGCTCAAAAGAAGAA